CCTTGACACTCTGCAGCAGGCGCTTCAGGTCCTCTTCAATTTCAGCAAGCAGGGTTGTGTGTGTCATCCGCATAACGTAGATTGTTGATAAATCGTCCACCAATCTTGACCCCACATTTCTCCTCATAGAGCCCAGCCTCCCAGATAATCTGTTCTGCATATAGGTTGAAAAGGAATATAGGATTAGGTATTATTTCCATGACAGGATTACTGAAAAAGAAATGCACAGAAAAGTAGACTGTGGACTTGGGGAGAGGAGAAGGACTATATAACAATGAAAGAACTTTTTTTTCTTTTCAAAGAGAAGAACGAACTTGGGGGAGGGGTGGGCAGGGAAGAAAATGTGCAACAATGAATGAACAGGGAAAAATTAAATGGAAAGAATATGCTGTAATACATATATATATAAAAATCATTAAGGAAAAAAGGTTGTGTTTTCTGGATCTGTTGTTTCCTAATAGCCTGGGAGTCTGTTAGCAGTTAGTTTGTGCCTGAAGGGTGGTAAATGTGGTTGGAATTGTCGACTTCATGGACTTCTCTTTTCTCCTCTCCTTCTGGTTCTCCTCTCCTCTGGCCGGCTTCCTGGAAACACAGGACTGCAGGAACAGCCACAAACAAGCTGTGGTATGCCTCTCTGTCCCTGGTGACGCTCATCATGTATTCCATTGCCACCGGAGGCTTGAGTTTGATGGCAGTGTTTTATACACAGAGAGAAGGCTGCCTGGAAAATAAAGTCCTCCTTGGAATAAATGGCGGCTTGTGCTTGCTCATTTCTTTGGTGGCCATCTTACCCTGTGTCCAAGACCGTAAGTATGGTTTTTTTCCCCATTTGTCTTTTTTTTTTTTTACATTTTTCTGGATATCTTTGAGCCAAACAAATGGATTGCTATTTGAAATAATAGTCAATCTTTAGCTTGCCATGGATAGGCTACTAATAGGAAAAAACAGGACCTGTGTGCTGTCTTCATCTCCTACACTGGGATTGAAGATGATATCAAGCATGCCTTGTATTTGTTGTTTTTGTTATATGCCATCGAGTCATTTGCAACTCATAGAGACCATATGTATAGCAGCTCAGAACTCTGCCCTATCCTGAGCCAATCTCACTGACTCCAACACATCTAATCCCATTACCCCAGTTACTGTGTAAGTCCATTTCATCCGGGTCTTCCTCTCCTGCACTGTCCCTCCAACCTTCCAAGGATGATGTTCTTCTCCAGTGACTAGCCCCTCCTGGCCATATGCTCACAGTATGTGAGACTGAGCTTCAAAATCCTTGCCTCCAATGAGAAACTTTGTTTCATCCTCTCCAAGACAGAATTATGTGTTCTCCTGGTGGTCCATTGTATGTTCAATATTCTTCTCCAACACCACAACTCAGTGACATTGATTCTTCCTCTGTCATACTTTGTCATTGTCCAGTTGTCTGATGCATAGCAAGTAACTGTGAAGACCATGGCCTGGATCAGGTGCACCTTAGTCACTAGACTGACATCATTGCTCTTCAGCACTTTGGAGAGGCCCCTGACAGCCAATTCAGTGCTGAACAGGCACACAGCAGCGTTCAGGTTTCTAGGTAGAAAAAGGGGAGGTATGGCCAATAGATGTACACTTACTTGAATCCTTTCTAACATATGTTGTTTTTGTTATGTGCCATCGAGTCACTTGCGACTCATAGCGACCTTATGTACAAGAGCTCTAAAAGCTGTTCTATCCTGTTCCAACTTAGCCATCTCAAATGCACTTATTCCTACCACTCCACTCACAGAATCGATCCATCTCATCGAAGGTCTTCCTCTCCTTCGCCACCCCTCCACTCTGCCAAACATGATATCCCTCTCCAAGGACCAGTCGCTCCTTGCAACATGCCCAAAGTATGTCAGACGTAGCTTCAGAACCCTTGACTCCAAGGAGCATTCTGGCTTCACTTTCTCAAGGACAAACCTGTTTGCTCTCCTAGCAGTCCATGGTATATTCAACACTCTTCTCCAGCACCAAAACTCAAATGCATCAATTCTCTTTCTGTCATCCCTATTCACTGTCCAACTCTCTGATGCATAGCACGTAATTGCGAAGACTATAGCCTGGATCAGGCGCACCTTAGTCTTCAGCCTGATGTCATTGCTCTTCAGTACTCTTGAGAGGTCCCTCACAGCTGACTTTCCCATTGCAATTCGTCTCCTGATTTCCTGGCTGCTGTTACCAAGAGTGTTGGTTGTGGAGCCAAGCAAACTAAAACTGTTAACCATCTCAATCTCTTCACCATCCATACTGATGCTGCCAATTGGCCCAGTGATGAGAATCTTTGTTTTCTTGATGTTGAGTTTCAGTCCATATAGGAGGCTGCAGTCCTTGACCTTCTGCAGCAAGCGCTTCAGGTCCTCCTCAGTTTCAGCAAGCAGGGTTGTGATTCCAAAAGACAACTGTTGCTGTTATGTGCCCTCAGTTGCCTGCAACTCATAGTGCCCCCTATGTGCAACAGCTCTGAAGCCGGCCCTGTCCTGAGCCAGTCTGACTCTGACATATCTACCCTCATTGTCTGAGTTACTGTATCAATCCATCTCATCTGGAGTCTTCCTCTTCTGCGTTGTCTCTCCACCTTTGCGAGCATGATGTCCTTCTCCAAGGATCAGTCCCTCTTGGCCACATGTCCGAAATACGTGAAACAGAGCTTCAGAATCCTAGCCTCCATGGAGAAACTTCGTTTTACCCTTGGCAAGAAAGACTTACTTGTTTTCTTGGTGGTCCATGGTATGTTTAAGACTTTCCTCCTGCATCAGAACTCAAAGGCATCAACTTTAGTCATTGTCCAGCTCTCTGATGCATAGCAAGTGGTTGCAAAGAGTATGGCTAGGATTAGGCATAGCTTAGTCTCTAGATTGACATTGTTGCTTCTCAGTACTCTGGAGAGGTCTCTGAGAGCAGATTTTCCCAGTGCAATTCATCTTTTGTTTTCCTGACTGCTGGTTCCAAGAGTATTTATTGTGGAGCCAAGCAAGCTGTAATTGTTAACAACCTCAGTCTCTTCTCCATCTTTCGTGGTGCTCCCAGTTAGTCCAGTGGTGAGAATCTTTTGCTTCTTGATGTTGAGTTTCAATCCATGTTAAAGACTACAGTCTTTGACCTTCTGTAGCAAGCACTTCAGGTCCTCCTGAATTTCAGCAATCAAGGTTGTGTCATCTGCATAATGTAGGTTGTTGATGAGTTTCTCTCTAATCCTGATGCCACATTCCTCCTCATAAAGCCCTAGTGTAGGATAGTTTTTAAGAAGGAAAAGTTTTTCTGTACTAAACATTGCAAATCTTATTAACATTGAGAGTATATATTGCAGATTATCTTACTTGATTGATTATGAATTTCTAAAAACAAATTATTAGTGTTTAAATAGAGATTTCCTGTAGGTTAAGGCTTACCTTTTGATGTAGGTATAACTGGTTTAAAAAGTCATTTTCTCTTACACCAAAGAGCAACATTAAGAAAAATGTATATAGAAAAAAAGTATATGTCGGTTTCTTAGTGGCAGTTTGGAGTCCCTAGATAGCACAAATGGTTCAGCTCTTGGTTACTAATCAAAAGGTTCAAATTTACCCAGAAATCCACTGAAAACAAAGACCTGGCAGACTACTGTGAAAGGACAATTGAAATCTGTATGAAGTTTGGTTCTACTCAGAAAACACACAGGATCACTATGGGTCACAATCTACTCAATGACAACTGTCTTAATGGTGTTTGTTTTTAAATGGTGCTTATAACTTAATGATGAAGATTCCGGAAACAAAGTTAATCAGAGGAAAAATTGGATAAAATGGGATCCCTTCTTGTAAAAAGGTTTCTACCAGAAAGTAGAAAGAAGTTCCCTTATGATGATATCCTTTAACTCAGGAGGACCTGAGCCACGTGGCTTATTTGATATTATCCTTCTCTTCATGATACTGAGCCCCATAGCTGCTTCTGTAGCTTTTCCCAGCTCTGGCATTTACTCAGTTTTCCCTAGGGTTTTGTTTTTTGACAAATAAGAGCTTTTCAGCCCTGCCACCTACAGACTGTACTACAAGTGACTAACAGCCTTTCAAAAACCAGAATCCATGTCCCATTATATCTGTTCCTGCTGTGGCAGATAATGATGGTAATTTTTCTCTCTTGTTTTGTGATTCAAGAACTAATACAAAATAAACTTCAAAGGGACTAGGCAGTATGTTTAGGTTTGAGATGGCATTGTATTCATATAATGTTAGCGTTTATAGCTAAAGTAGCAGTGTTAGACTCTGTGTATAGGCCCACTCCACCCAGATTCTTTTTCGTTTTATCTGGGAAAACCATCATGCATGCTTTTTTTTGGTAACTTTAAAGGTGATGCTCATGTTAAGGAGGATTATTGTGTTGGTATGTCTGACTTATTTTTATAGTATCTGCTTTCTTACCATTGAACTTACATTTGTGTCTTACAGGACAGCCACATTCTGGATTACTGCAATCCGGGCTTATAAGTTGCTATGTCACGTATCTCACTTTTTCAGCTCTGTCCAGCAAACCTGTAGAATATGGTAAGATTCCCTTGTATGGGAGCATGTGTTTGATATGACCATTTGTATTTATAGAAGAAGGAAAATTTCCTACAGGTTACTTAATGAATATTGGAGATGTAGTAACTCAAAATAAATAGATGACCTAGACGTTCTCAGTTAAAGGATCTTCTCAATAACAGTTTTTTTATTTATGTGTTTTGTTTTGTTTTGTTTTGTTTAAAAGAGCCCTAGTGGTATACTGATTGAGTCCTTACTTGACTGTTACACATAAGGTCAGCAGTTTGAATCACCAGATTCTCTGCTGGAAAAAAAGATGTGGCAGTCTGCTTCTGTAAAGGTTGGTAGTTTGGAAACTTCATGGAGCAGTTCTGCCCTTTCCTACAAGGTCACTGTGAGTCAAAACCAGCTCACTGCTGACCTGATGGCAATAGATTTGGGGTTTGGTGTTGGGTTTTTTCTCTTTGTTTTTTAAATTATTGGGTCCCTGCCTCCATAGTAGAAGACCCAATTTTCATGCTTTGAGTTCCAAACTTAGTACATGCCATCGTTTTGTTCACTTTTGTAACTGAGTAAATATAATTGTGTATGTTTGTGTTAAGAGTCCCTGGGTGCAAATAGTTAAACTACACTTGGCTACTAACCAAAAGCTTGGAGGCATAAGTCTACCCAGAGGTATTTCAGGAGAAAGTCTTGGTAATCTGCTTAAAAAAAAAAAATAAAATATGCACACACACACACACACACACACACACACACACATATCAAGGTTTGAAAACCTCATGGGACCCAGTTCCATGCTGATACACAGAGTTGGCTAAAGAGTCCTCTCTTGAATATGTAAGTTTATTTAAATATACACTGTTGACTTTCGTTTTATGCATTTCAGTGTACAGAATCTCTGATTTTGGAGAAAGGAATTTTTCCCCTATAATCTTATTTTTGTTGTTTTAAAATGTAGGTAGTACTTAAAAATGGAAAAAAATAATTTCAGGTGGCATTACTAAATTGGAAAAATTACATGTTTGGTAAATTTTTAAGAACATTTTTTACTGGGCTTAGAATAAAAATCCCTTAAACCACATGATAAGCACTTTCGTGTCAAGTGTGATTTCCAATAATAATTTTAGTCCAACTTCAAACACTAAGAAAGCACATGCTTATAAAGTGGTTTCTAGGCTATTATTCTGTATTATTGATCTCTTATTTGGGGGTATAGTTGGCCCAAAATATCCTAGCTCTGATGTTCAAAAATAGAACATGGTATTAAATAAAAGGTAAATGCCTTTACCACTGATAGAATGTGGAAGTATTCAGTAGGAGCCTCTCAATAAAGAATTTTTTACAATAATCCAGACCTCCTCAAGGAGTTCTTGGGTTACAAGGCAAAGACATCATAGTTGTTTTCCTGCCTGAGTTTTCACTGGAGTTAGGAGGCTCTGGGCCAGACCACTGTTCTATTGTTGTTATGTTTGTGGTTGTGGATTAGTCATGACACTCATCCAGAGATAACTCCTCAGTTATCTGCACACCATGTCTCTCTTCAGAGGCTGCTGAATCAACTGAAATGGAATACTGCAGCACACATGTCCATTTACTGTTGCTTGAGTCTGTATTTCTCATTGCTGTTTAGTCCGTTCTGTCTCACAGCTGATCTTCCTTTTGGTTTTTGAGGCTGTTAATTGTATAATTGGATACGGCCCATCTTTCTCCATTGGAGAGCAAATTGTTGTCAGTTCAACTGCATGGAGTCTCAATGTGTGTCAGAGTAGAAGTACTTCAGAGGATTTTCAAAGAAGATTTTTCCAAAGTAGATTGCCAGTACTTTCTTCCAGGGCACCTCTTGGTAGATTTGAACCTCTAATCTCTGAGTTAGCTGCTGAGTACATTAACAGTTTGTGCCATTCAGGGACCCTGAAGAAGAGCAAGACTCTTCCAAGTCCTAGAACTGTACATTACTTTTAGCTAAACTAATCTGAGAGCCTTGTTCTCAGAATGAGCAGATGTTAAGAGAGTGGTACTTTGAAATTGGTAGTTATTTGACCAACCAGAGGAATAGCAAAAATCTAGTCCTAGTCAAATAGAATAGTATTTCAAATAATTAGTATTCATTCTTCTTGTTGTATACTGTCAAGTTGGAACCAACTCACAGCTGATCCTTTGGTGGGTTTTCAGCAGTTAATGGCGTAGTAAGAGATTGCCCCTTATTCTCCCATGGAGTAGCTGGTGGATTTGAACCATGCCTTCAGGATTGCAGCAGTTTCTTTCCACTAGGCCACCAGAGCTCCAGTATTCATTCTACTAAGTAGTTATACTAAAGCTACATGAATTTTTCCAAAATAAGTGCATGTTGGCATTACCGCAGATCTTTCCAATCTGACTGTGAGTTCTTTGTTTCTTTTCAGCTTTAGATGAGCATGGGAAGAATGTTACAATTTGTGTACCTACCTTTGGTCAGCACCTGGCCAGAGAGGAGAACTTGGTTACTGGGCTGGGTACCACCCTCTTGATTGCATGTATTTTATATTCATGGTAAGTCTCCCCCCTACTTTTAAAAATTGGTTTGCATACAGTAATTCATTGACATAGTGTTTCACTCATGTACATTGTGTTTTATACAATCTTTCATTTATGTTGTGTTTCATACAGTCATTCATATACATTACATTTTATAGAATTAATTAGTTGATCCATGCCTATTATCCCCCTGTCTTTTTGAGACTCCATTGAATCTTTCCTATTCCTTCACCCTCCCATCCGCCCACCAAACTCTGCTATACTAGTGATTTCCTTTTTCCACCTTTTTACCCCTTCTTCTTTTGGACATTTATATGTATCTTAACTACTAATCTTATTTTTATAATAATGATCTTCTGCAGTATTTGTCTTTCTGAGACTGTGTTAGCTCATTCAACATAATACTCAGTAGACTCTCCCATGTTATTTAGGATTTTATGAAATCCTTGTTCCTTATTATTTCATTGTGTGAATTTTTCATTTCATTCGTTTTTTGATAGACATTTGAACTATTTTCATATACTTGCTGTTGTGAATAACACTACTATGGACATAGGTGTACATATCTCAATTTGTGTCTCAGTTCTTATTTCCTTGGGTTGTATTCCTAGCAATAGAATAGCTAGGGCATGTGGGATTTTTTTTCTTTTTTTCCCCAATCAGTTATAATTTTTTTTCCCAGTTCAACACATTTTATTTTTTTTTCCATTCATTCAGTGTTGCACTTTTCTCCCCTCCCAACCCTCTCCCCCAGTAAAAAAAAAAAAAGTAAAAGAAAAATTCTTTCATTGTTTTACAATCCCTCCCCCCCCAGTTCCACTCCACTATACAGCCTTCACTCTGGACTCCTGTCATGACAAAAATCCCTAATAATTTTCCCTCTAAAACAGTTTTCTCCCTCATCTGTTTCTATGCAGTATACATTATTGAACCCATCCTTCTCATTCTCCTCCCAAGCCCTATGTCAGTCCTACTTTACAACAGTGGCACCATGCACTATTTGTCCTTTTGTGACTGAGATACTTCACTCTGCATACTGTCCTCCAGGGTCACCCATTTTGAATAATATTGCATGAGTTCCTTGTTTTTCAGTGCAGCATAGTATTCCATTGTGTGAATATACCACAGCTTCTCTAGCCATTCGTTTGTTGATGGGCACTTAGGTTGTTTCCAACTCCTTGCTATTGTGAACAAAGTCACGATAAACATGGGTGTGCATATATATCTGCTTGGATGTCAGTATGGTTTCTTTGGGGGTATATTCCCAGTAGTGGAATTCCTGGGTCAAGTGGTGTCTCTATTTGCAACTTTTTGAGAAAGCGCCATACCGCCTTCCACAGTGGTGGCACCATTTTACACTCCCACCAACAGTGAATAAGGATTCCAGTCTCTCTACAACCTCACCAGCATTTGTTGCTTGCTGTTCTGTAGGTGGCATGTGGGATTTCTATGTTTAGCTTCTTGAGGAAATGCTAAACTGCTTTCCAGAATGGTTGTTTCATTTTACAATCCCACCAGTAATGCTTGAGAGTTCTAACATATTGATGGACTTTGTGGTTTTTTTAATCCATTCTGCTACTCTTTTTCTCTTGATTTGTGCATTTAGTTCATTCACATTAAGTGTGATTTTGACAGCCCAAGTTTTAGGTTGTGTTTTACTGTGTTTCTTTTTCTGTCTTCTGGTTTTTTTGGTCCATTCACCATCCTTTGCTATCTCTATGTGGACTTACCTTAGTACTGCTTGTACAGTTGTCCTGTTTTCATAAATTCTTTAAGTTCTTACCTTTCTACAAATGACTTAGTTTCTCTTTTATATATGATGAACAGCTTTGCTGAGTACAGGACCCTTGGCTGATAATTATTTTCAATTAGCCTTCTGTATGTATATGTCATTCCATTATCTTCATGCTCACATAGTTTCTGATGGGAAAGCAGAATTTAATCTAATTGTTTCTCTTTTGTATGTGACTCTTTCTTGCACTGCTTTTAGTATTCCATTCTTATCTTTGATTTTGAGAATTTGAGTATGATATGACTTGATGTTTTTCTTTTACTGTCTAGTCTTTTTGGAGTTCACTGCATTTCTTGAATATGGATTTCCTCATTCTTCATAATGCCTGGGAAGTTTTCTTGTAGTATCTCTTCCACAATTTTCTCAGTGCTTTCCCTATCCCCCGCATGATCTGGAATTCCAATCATACATATGTTTTTTCTTTTGATCTTTTATCTCACAATTCTAATGTTTTCTTCATTTTCCTCTATCTTCTCTGTTTTTCCTTCTAATAATTTCCCATTGAGGTTCTTGTTTTCTAGCTCACTGACTCTCAGTTCTTTCTCTTCTTTTCTGCTGTTTTGTTCCTCTAGCATGTTGGGAAATTCTGCCATTTTGGTCTTGATATTCTAGATTGCATTTTCATATCTTTCTGTTATTTCTAGTAAAGAGCTGGTTGTACCTTCTCTGCTTTGTGCTGATCTTTTAATATTCTTATAGCTCTTTATTTATTATTTCAGTTCTTCCTTCATTTGAAACTTCATCAGTAGCTGTTCTTGTAAGTCCACATTGATAATATTTCTTCTGCCTCCCTGTCTCTGGGATATTCATTGGGTCTACAATCTGATCTGATTTTTTTAGGAGAAGGCTTGTTTTGGGTGTTTGTCTGTGTATATTTGTGTTTGAAGCTGTCTCCTGCTTTCTTGACTTTGTGTGAAATTCTTGTTTCTATGTGTGAGGCAATTTCTGTTGTGTCTGTGATAGTTCTTTATCTTTATGATGCTATTGATAGGTTTCAGACTTGAAGTGTTGTCTCTGATTGAGGTGGCACTCTTCCCTGCTGGTAGTGTATGGGCATATCTGTTTCCTGTGGTAAGATTCTCATTTGGTTGTCCTTTGAGAGGCACAGAGCTGGAATCTTTCCCTTTGCCCAGCTGTGATGAGCCTACTCCTCTGTCCTGGCCCATAGTTTGGTTAGAAGGGAGGGGAGGTTACCCCTTGGGGTAAGCAAAGTCCCAGGTATGCTACCCTGCCTATATTCCTCAGGGAAAAGGCCTAGGAAAGTGAGAAAATCCCAATAGTGCAGCCCTCAAGTCTCAGTAGTTGCTAATGGCCATGTGCTCTCTCCTGGGTCTTGTTAGGAGATGAGCTGTTCCTGTCTGAGTGGACAAAGGCTCAAGGAAGCACCAGCTCCTCAGCAGTGCAGCTTCCAATTCTGGCTACTTGCTAATGCCCAAGCATACCTCCATCTCGTCCCCACTAGTGGCTGATTGGGAGGGCAGCTGTTCCTGAGGATGCAAAGCTCAGGGAAGCACTAACTTCTCAACTTCTTGTTCTCGTGGTAAGCCTTTGCAGCTTCAAAAGTACAGGAACGACTTTAAAGTAAGTGTAAGCAGCTGCAAATCAGCACAGCAAATACCATTTGAGGGACATGAAAATAGCTAGAAACAGGAAACTTCATTACAACATGCATGTAGGTGCAAGGAACCGGCTTACTTGTATCTTTATGGCTGAGCAAAATAAATGTATGGTGATCTTGCAGCTGTATTGCCTAATGTACTCTAAAATGCAGTTTTATTATTAGTTGCCGATCTATTGTTGGCTTAGTGGTAAGGAGTTGTGCTGCTATTGGTAATGCAGGGCATATGGTTTGAATCTACCAGCTACTCTGTGAGAGAAAAAAAAAAAGGTCCTCCTGTGCAATTTACTGCCTCTGGGAAGCCACTGAAACACCAACTATACATTGTTTCCAACTTGATGGTACACAGCAACCAAATATTGTTGGAGGGTGTATAAAAAGAACCAGAGTCTTGTGGGGATAGCCATATCTGACCTCCACCAACTCCAAAAGAACTTGTCCCCATCAACAAGATCAACAACGCAAAATCCAATTCCGTGAGGTTATGCTTGTCTCCTATGCTCCTGTACCTCTTTCTACTGATACCAACACCAATCTTAATGCTCTACTGGGTCCAAAATCCATTGCAATAGCTCACAGGCCACACAAAACCATGTTAGGGAAGTCAAAGGGCTATAATTCAAGTTTGTAGTACAATACAGACGGAACAGCTGCTGGAATGTACTTTCAGATACCTCAGCCTTCAGCCTCACCAGGACTTTAGGCCAGTGTTTCAAAGCTTGTTGTTGTTGTTGTTGTTATGTGCCCTCAAGTTGCTTGCAACTCATAGCAACCCTATGCACAACAGCCGTATACCCTGCTCTATCCTGTGCCAATTTTATTGTCTCTGACACACCCTCCCCCATCACCCCAGTCACTGAATCAATCTTATCAAGGATCTTCCTCTCTTGCTCTGTTCCTCCACCCTCCCAAGCATGACAGTTGTCTCCAAGAACTGGTTCCTCCTTGCAGCATCTACAGAATATGTCAGATGAAGCTTCAGAATCCTTGCCTCCAAGGTGCAGCCTAGAAGAGATATGTTTTGGAGAGGGTGCAGCCAGAGTGCTCTTTGGAGGCAAGAATGATGAGTCTTTGCCTTATATACTTTGGACATATTGCTAGGAGATGCTATTCCTTGCAGAGGGACATGATGTTCTGAAGGGTGGAGGGTCGGCAAAGGAGAGGAAGACCCTCAACCAGGTGGATTGACAAAGTAACTGCTGCAGTGGGCTCTTGTGTGTCAGGAAGTGCGAAGATGGCACAGGACAGAACTGGTTTCAGATATTTTGTTCATAGGGTTGCTATGAGTTGTACTTGACTCGATGGCATCTGACAACAACAACAACCATCAAGTTGGAACCAACTCGAAGCTGACTCTATAGCAAGTTTTCAGAGGCAGTTTAATCACATGGGAAGAGTTCATCTTTCTCCTGTGGAGCAGCTGGTGGATTCGAACTGTGTGTCTTTGGGATGGCAACACAACTCCTTACCACTAGGCCACCCCCTAGTACCTTAAATTTATTTAAAAACAAACAAACAGACAGACAGACAAACAAAGTCAACAGCAATAGAAAAGTCTTCTACTGAACCAGTTGAGACTAGAGGACAACTGGAGACTACGGCCCTGAGATATTCTTCAAACCATGAACCAAAACTAACCCAAGGTCACCTTGTAGCTAAAGCATAGATTGACTAAAAAAGTCGTTAACATCATCCATAAATAAGTACTATGCTCCTTTAAAAAAGCACCTTTGCAGGTATTTTTCTCATGCTGTCTCGAACAGTGAAGAGCAAAGAAAGTCAAAGATGCAAGGTTCATACTGACTTGTTTGAATAAATCCATGGACTAGTGGGGAAGTAAAGCCAGCTGCATAGGGATAGGTAGGAACTATTCCTGGTCTTTAGTATAAGGAGGGCTGTTTGGTTGTGACCCTACTTCTGAGAGGAGGATAAGGAGGGGACTCTGCTTTAGGTCATTTGAGGCCATCCTTATTTTATCTTCAGTGTGCGTAACATCTCCATATCGAGAAAATTGAAATCCCTACCACTGGGCTAGTGGTCGACTTCACGATAGATGGAGGAAAGATTGCAATTATCAATGATTTCATCTTGCTTGGATCCACAGTCAACACCCTTGCTACCAGCAGTCAAAAGATCAGATGTATACTATTGGGAACATCTGCAACATTGGGACATCTGCTTTCAGGGCAGGGACCTCCCCAGAGTGCTGAAGACCAGTGATGTAAGTTTAAAGACTAAGGTGTGACTGAAAGTGTGGTCTTTCCAGTCACCTGCTATGCATCTGAGAGCTGGACAGTGAATAAGGATGGCAGAAGAATTGATGCCTCTGGGTTGTGGTGGTGGAGAAGAGTACTGAATATCTCATGGACCACCAAAAGAACAAACAGATAGATGTCTTGGAGAAAGTGCAACCAGAGGGCTCCTTGGAGGCAAGGATGGCAAAGCTTCATCTTATATGCTTTGGGCACACTGTTAGGAGAGGCTATGCCTTGGAAAAGGACGTCATGCTTGGAAAGATGGTCAGTGAAAGAGAGGAAGACCTTAGACATGTTAGAGTGACACAGTGACTGCAGCAGTGGCCTCGAGTATAACAGAGATGGTAAGAATCGCACAGGTAGGACAGGATTCAGATTTGTTTTCATAAGGTCATTATGAGTCACACTGAACTCGATGGCACATAGCAACAACAACAATTTTACCAGCTGTCAGACTTTAAACATCTAGTCAATTCCTCTCTAGCTCTTGGCGACCCTTTTAAGACAAAGCAGAACTGCCCCATAGGATTTCCTAGGCTGTGGTCTTCATGTGAGTAGATTGTTACATCTGTTTCCATGGAGCAGCTCATGAGGCTGAGAGCTCAGCCACCGTGCCATCACATCTCCTTTGTGTTCAGCCTGGTCTCTAGGTACCAGGAAAATGGCAGGAAGGGATTTTTATCATACACTCAACTACTGTGTTGACTCTTCAGACAGAAACATTTGTTCTGTCATAGACTGCTTATCCCTCAGTAAATAATTGTGACCTTTGCTTTTTATTGCCTTCTCTGTCAGTTCTTGTGTTGATTTTGGTCCCTTTTATCTGAACCTATTCAGAGTGATGGAAAAGATAAAAATTCTGTTGGAAAATTATTTTGGTATTTGGAAGGTAAAAATCACAGTGAAAACCAAGATGCAGGAATAAAAACACTTCCTTCTTTAATTACAAATTTCTCATTACTTAAAACCTCCTAATCTAGTCCATGTGAAAAACCCATCAGCTGTGGAATCATCCAGGCACACTGGGGTGTGAAGATAAGAGTACATGAAATATGTTATATGATGTTATTATGAGTCTTAAATTAGAGTATTGATCAGGCAGTTCTACCCTTCATTCATTATGATAAAATATGCCCATTGATTTGTTCTCCCCTTAGTCTGACATCGACAACAAGATCGAGTTCGGATGCCCTGCAGGGACGATATACAGCTCCTGAGCTAGAGGTGAGTTCTTGTCTTCATCTCAGAAGACTCATTTTCATGAAGGCTTTCTGTCTGTCCTTGCATCTTTATTGATTTGCATTCTGTGAGAATAAGCATGCTAAAGAGAAAAGGAAAATGACTTCTGTGTAGAATAGGATTGAAGTAAGTTCATTCTTGGCTCTTCTCCAACCAGCTTGACTTCTTGAGTGACATGCATCACCCACCTCCCATTAGTCTTGACTAAACCTTGACAGCCTGTACCTCCTGACTCGTCCTCTGTCACATCCATTATTTTTAACTCTAGCTTCATTCATCTATTCTATGCTTGTCTGTATGATATATAGTATTGCTATGAGATGATGTAACAACCATTCTGAAGAAAGAGAAAAAGACTGCAACAGAAAGGGACCCAGCATCTCTTCCATTTATCTTCTATGCCAGACAGTGTACAGAAAACTAATTCACTTGACTATACGTTTGTCCCAGAAAATAGCTATTTCATTAAGTTGAAAATTTTGAACAATAGATACATTCATTAGTTTATGGCTTTTGGGACTTTTTTATGTGCTTGTGTAATGGATTGGGGTGATCAGTAACTGTCTGTTGGTGAGTAAAATGTTAATGATTTTCTTATTTGTTCAAATCTCTTTTTCTGACTGGGGAGCATGTAGAGCCCCTGGCTGGAGTAAATGGTTAATGTGCTTGCTTCTAGCTAACAGGTTGGTGTTTCAAGTTCCTATGAAGAAAGATACGTTGATATTTCCTGGGAAGTAAGCCTGTGAGCCCTGTCGAGCACAGCTCTGCTCTGGCACACATGGGGTTGCTATGAATAGAAATCACTTCTGTGGCAGCTGGGTTTTTTGTTTGGGAACCGAAAACCAAAGGCCTAATCTGATGGAAGCTGGAGGTGGCCAGATTAAGATTTAGGGTTCCAGTGAAGACGAGGACCTTAGGCTTGCCATGGTATTTGTTGTTCAAAGCCAATATGTCATTTATTTAGTCCTCGTAAACCTCAGTGAAGTGCCATTGTATAGAGGGGAGTGCTGTTATTCAGACCCTGCAGATTTCCATTTGCCAGAACTTTAACTGTGCTGTGAGGGTCTCCTCGTCCTTGGTGCCGACCCTGCCTGGCATTGGGCCACGACCTGCATTCTAATAGCTTTCTGTGGATAGAGGCACCCTGTTATCTGTCCAAACATAGGCACTTGGTTCTCAGCTGGTTCTGGAAATGATCTGTATTGTACCTGACCTAGCAGTAGTTACTGCCAGTATCCACCACCAGCTCTTTGTGTCACTTAAGAAAGAGAAAACTGCTGAGTTTGAATAGGTTACTGCCCATTATTCTGAGGACTATGGGTCTGTCGAAGGCATGTGATTGTTCTCACCCAGAACTGGAAGACCACCTGCTTAGTGTTGGTTAGGTTCAATATCGCCTTTGTGTACAGAGTTAAAGTCAAAGAACAGCAAGTCTCTAGATTAGATTTAAGAGCAGGAACTAAGGATGCTTTTCTTATGCTGATTCCAAGAGACATCATCCCAGTATTCCTTTCTGAGCCAGAGAAGCATGCAAAAGGGAAGATGTACCACATTTCATAGGACATACCTTTGAAAGAGCGATTTAATAGTTTCTCATGGTAACTTAAGCTTTAAGAAGCTGGGGGAGCTCTGGTGGCCTAGTGGTAAGAAGCTGCACTGCAATCCCAGAGGTATGCGGTTCGAGTCTACCAGGTGCTCTGCTGGAAAAGGAGGGGAGTCTTCTCCTGTACCAGTCAGATCTGATTTGATGGTACACACAAATAATAAAATTAAAATAAATAAATAAATAAATTTTTAAAGGCTGCTATTTCTTGAAAAGTTTGCTTGCCATGCCAAGTGGACACATAAGTTTGCCTGTTGTTGTTGTGTACCGTTGTTGGAACCAACTCATAGTTGACCCTCTAGCAGGTTTCACACAGGAGGAGAATGCCCATCATTTTCCCCTACGGAGCAACTGGTGGAGTCGAACCATGTGCCTTCAGATTGACAGCATAGCTCCTTACCACTAGGGCACCAGAGCTCATAAATGTCCTTGCCTGGTGATGCATAAATGAAGAGAAGGCTTCAGTTTCCACAGCCTCTCTGTGCTTTGTAGTTCAGACATACTCAGCCAGAAAATTCTCAGGATCCAGCATTTGCCCATCTGACTTTGTACTCCTACTTCCTCCTGTCTCCCTCAGACCTTCTGAAAAATGTAGGATTCATAGCCTGATGTTTTTAATGAAGGTCTTTGTCTGGAGTACATCAGAAACATGGTATGACTTACTAAAGATGCCAAAGACTCTTCAATGGAAAACATCTTACCCACCCAGACCTAGGAGGCATCTACATCTGTCCTTTGGAGAAAGCCAGGCCCCTGATTTTAGTAGGAAACCTGAATAGACCTGCCAAATTCCTTAGTGGTCATTATTTCTGATTTTGTCAACTGCACCATCTCCCAGATGCCACATGTCACCTCTTGCCTACTTTGGATCATGGGCAATGGAGCATCACCTTGGAGTTCTGTATCATCATTTACTAAGTGAGTGTTGAGACATCAGTCAGCTATTTAATCTGCCTGACCTACATTTTCTCAGCGTTAAACAGGTTGAGAATCTCAGCCTCAGAGCTTTAAGATTTAAAGAAATAGCTCCTAAAAGGAAGCACCAGAAGGTGGGTTCCATGTGGTAGCAGAGACCTAGTCATGTTCACTTAATATTGCAGATTGAGGCCTCCAGAAGTAGAACTTGATGTGCAATGTATGTGCTAGAGATCAGCCAAGGAAGGACAGGGAAAGAGGCAGGATTGACAGAGGGTTACGTGCAGGCTGAACAAGGCCTCCACTGACTCTGTGGGATGCTCTGAAGCATGGATGGCCCACCAGAGTTGTCAGAATGGCTGGACTTTGAATATGGTTGTTGAGGAAGGGTTTACTCTTGGGAATGACAGCTCAGCAACAGAGACAGAACCTGAAGAGCTGAGAGCAGTGTGAACAAGCCACACGCCCTTCTTTGAAGGGCTTGCAAATGGCACATGTTCGTGGTATATCCTATCACCAGCATCCTGAACAGTGCTGGAGAAAGGCTCAGTGAAAGCTTGTTGAGAGAATAAAAATCCAGTTCAGAGCTCTGGGATGCGTTCACATTGGTGAAGATTGGGGACCTTTGGTGTCAGCTGCCGTCAAGCTGCCTCAGTTCATGGCAGCCTCATTAGAATGAAATGTTCCCCAGTACTGTACCATCCTTCTAATTGTATGTAGACGCTGCAGTTGAAATGACTTCTAACAGAGGGAGCTTGTCATCTAGCATGGAATCTGGCAATAGCATGTTGGGATTCATTGGCTAAATTTTAGAAGTAGATCAGCAAAGCGACTCGACGGCATATATCAACCCCAACAGATCAGCAAAGTATTTCTTCCTAGTCTTTCTTAAGCTGGAGCTCCGTTGAGATCTGTTCACCATTTGTGACGCTACTGGTATTCAAAAGACCAGGGGTATGATCGCAGATTTTGTGCAGGGGTTACTATCTAAAAAATTATATTAATAGAATTCTGTTAATAGAATCACGATGAATCATAGTCAGCTTGACATAGGTTTGACAAGCATAAGATCACTTGATATATTCCAAGATTTTAAGGCAACAAGAAATACCTCACAACAACACTCAGAACCAGAGAATCAGAATGAACACTTGTAATATTTTTTAAATGATTAGAGTCCAAATTTTTAGACTTTTCCCTTTAACAAGTGGTCTTGAGAGAAGGGCTTAAGCATAATTTAAGCTCAACAGAGGTTTCTTGTAGATAAAATATAAAAATTTGGTGGCTACTGGCAGAATCTATTATATCTCTATCTTTTCTCAGGGAGTGATCACATATTTATGGTTTTATACAGCAAAACCTGTATAAAATGGAAGACCATGAGAAAAGAAAACAAAACTATTTTTCATTAACAGTAATAGAAAAGTAATACGATCACACACTGTCAAGGGCGAAAATCTTGTGAGACATGGACAGATTGAAGGCAGTCCCATTGCATTTGGTCTCTCACAGGTTTCACTGTATGTGAATATGTAAAATGTGGTTTTACATAACAGGGTCCAGTGTGACATCAAAGACTAGTGTGTTATGTCTTTGGCGGTAGGTGCCAGCTGAATGATACATCTCTTCTCTTCTTCCAAGTTAGTCAGGTGTAGAGATGAAGTATATTATGTGTCACAGCATGCCATGTCAAAGCGAACTTTTTACTTATTTCATATGCTTTTGTGTCTCAGTTAAAAAATGTCTAAGTAGCTTCATGCCATACAGATTTCTGATTACTTATTATTAGAGAGCTTCACACAAGTAGACTAACTTCCCTTTCTGAGTTCATGTTATGAGTATTTATTTATGTGTATTTTTGAATAATAAGTCTTATTTCACTCAACCATTGGTGTCCAGTTGGAGCCAAGTCATAGCTGACCCTCCAGTGGGTTTTCAGAGGCCGTACACCACACAGGAAAATATTGCCCATCTTTTTCCCTCAGAGCCACTGGTGGATTTGAGCTGCCAGTGAGGCAAAAACTTGTGGGTTAGCAGCACAACTCTCTATGAACTACGTCACCAGAGCAAGAAATCCTGTAGCTTAGGGGATTTGAGACTGTTACAGGAACATACAGAATACTAGCATCAAAGCAATGGACAAGCCACCACAGTCCGAGATGAGCCACCTGACATTGTTGGTCTTGCCTTTACAGGTAGCTCGGTGTTGTTTTTGCTTTGACCCAAGGGGAGATGGTAAGTAGATGATGTTTGTGCTTCTGTCTATATTAGGGTCAGTCTGAGACCCAGAACTCTACTTTGCAGGCATTTGAAATTCACACACAAATAGAGGGGGGGGGGAAGTTCCTTAATGGTGTATATACTTTTCACATTCTTCTACAAGGGATACTGGAGGGAGAGGGAGAGAGAGAGAGAAGAGAGAGTGAGAGTGAGTGTATGTGTGTGTATTCTGGCAGGAGGAAATCAGTCTACATTTTCTCTAATATTTAAATTAAATTGTACTGAGAGATGTAAAAAAACCCTAAAGAACGTTTTTAAAGAATTGATTTGAAAAATCCATTGAGGTTCTGACATTGGATTTTTTTCCCCCTGCATTTTCTTCCTTCTGCTTTTCTTCTTTTGGAGGGAAGGGCCTAGGACTTGAAAATTTTCAGTCTCCTCTCTCTCCTAAGTGTTTAGTAAGTTTTATGGTTCTAGGGCCTCTCTTCCCTGTGCTTTGTTAAAATAAACGTGGTATTAGGTAACCTGTTCTGTTTCAGAAGGTATGGGGTGAGGGTCTTGTGTTTATGGTAAAGATAAATTGCATTGCTGAGGATATGAATGATGGTTGACACATCTACTCAACATCCCCTGGGATTGAAATTGGTGAAATGTGGTTTTGCTCAAACAGTGAGTGAAAGTACATATGCATATTGAACTTGCACCCACTCTGTGACCCACAGATGCTGAAGATCAGCAGAGTATGAAAGAAGGATCACGGGTCATTTATGACGAGAAGAGAAGTACTGTCTATAGCTACGCCTATTTCCACTTCGTGTTCTTCTTGGCATCACTCTATGTGATGATGACTGTTACGCGGTGGTTCAGGTCGGTAGCCCATTTCCTCTGACATTTCAGAAGGGGAAGGCTTAAAGAAAGAAATGAATATCTAGTCAGATACTACTCTTTAAGGTACTCAGGCATAGGGGAAACCTCCTAGGGGAAACCTCCTAGATGAAACTGAACCCCTCAAGCCCTGTACATGTCAGGTATTGTTCTGCTGCTGTCTATATGGTTTTCACGGGCTGTTCCCCCCCCCCCTTTGTTCTTTGTTATCTGGAAGTAGATAATGGAATAGGTAACCAAGATTACTAATGTCACCTGGGTCTTAGCTGAAAGTAGAGCATATGAGAAAGATGTTTTCATGTGTTTCATCAGTTTTATTGATTATGCAAAATACTCAAGTATATGGATCATAGAAAATGATAGATGATAACATTGTGAAAAATGGTGATTTTTAAACAGCACTTAATTGTGCTCTCATGTAGAACCTGTACGTGGATGAAGTAACAGTGCTTCCGACAGAACAGGGCGCTGTTGTTGTTGTTAGGTGCTGTTGAGTCAAGTGCAATCCATAGCGACCCTGTGAACAACAGTTATGAACCCAGTCCTATCCTGTGCCATCTTCATACTTCCTTATACTCCAGAGCCCACTGCAGCAGTCACCATGTCAATCCACCTGGTTGAGGGTCTTTTTCTTCTTTGCCGACACTCCACCCTTTCCAACATCATGTCCCTCTCCAAGGAACAGACCCTCCTAGCAACATTCCCAAAGTAGGTGAGGCAAAGCCTCATCATTCTTAGCCCAAAGAAGCACTCCAGCTGCATCCTCTCCAATATATATTTGTTTGTTCTCTTGGCCCTCCATGGGATGTTCAGTGTTCTTCTCCAACACCACAGCTCAAAAGCGTCAATTCTTCTTCTGTCATCCTTATTCATTGTTCAGCTCTCAGAAGCATTGGAAGTGATCAGAAAGACTGGCCTGAATCAGATACACCTTACTCCTCAAACTGACATCGTTGCTCTTCAATAATTTTGAAAAGCTGCACATTTCCCCTGTGCAATGCTTCTCTTGACTTCCTGACTATGGGTACAATGGGTCTTTAAAATCAGGACAGGTGTATGTTAAGATTTTTTTCCTTTAATCACATTTAGTCAATCTGTATGCAACACAGGTTATCTGAGATGGCTAGACTTATGAAATAGAATATGTATTAAATATGTATTAAAAGAGAACTCCATAACAGCCTACAGTGAAACAGATGACACACCTTATTTGCCAAAAATGAAGACTTGAAGAGCTTACTAAAGAAAAGAAAAAACTACAGCCTTTAGTATGGTTTTCTCCACAACTTAAATAAAACAAAATTCTTCATAACTGAACAAATTAGGAATGCCATAATAAATGGGGAAAATATTAAAGTTGTCAAGGATTTTATTTTAGTTGAGTGCATAGTCCTCACCCCTGGAGACAGCAGTCAAGAAGTCAAATAACATACTGCATTGACATATTTGTTGCAAAGGGCCCATCTAAAGTATTACAGAGCAAACAAAGATGTCATCTTGAAGACTAAGATTTGCCTGATAAGCTATGCCATGGTGTTGCCATTCATCTCTGCATACAAAAGTTGGACAGTGAATAAGGAAGAGCAAAAAAGAATCAGTGCATCTGAATTATGATATTGGTGAAGAGTATTGAATGTACCATAGACTGTCAGCAGAGACAAATCTGAATTGGAAGACGTGTAGCCAGACAAGTCTCTGGAGAAGAAGAAAACTGTACTTGATAAACTAGAGAAAACGAGGAAGGCCCTCAGTGAGCTGGATTGACGCAGTGGCAATAATAATAATCATAACAACAACAACAGCAACAGCCTTAGGGATGGTGAGGATGGTACCAGACTGGGCAGCACCTTGTTCTGTTGTGCAGAAAGCTGCAGTGAGTCAGAATTGGCTCAACAACACCCAATATTGACAACTAACTAAATGCTCCTCTCCTGCTGCTCTTACTACCACCTTTTCATAAACAGTCTGGGTTCCCAGTAGTCCATTGGCCTGCTTTTTTCCCACCCTGGAAATTGGGGAGACATACCATAACATTATCAGAGCAGAAAGTGATCTCCATTGGGGCAATCTGGAAGCACATTATAACAGCAATTGAAAAAATGGCCTTCGAATTTCCTAGAATTCCCATATCATCAACTGCTTTAAGAAAGAAGAAATATTTTTATTTCATATTACAAAAAGTATTGAAAGGCATTTTTGAAAAAATTATAATAATGCAGAGGTACAGGAAATAACATCTTGACACTCTCCTCTCCCGCCTCCCACCCAGAGAGAACCACTGCTAATGAAGTGATGCATGTCCCTCCATTTTTTCTATGCCTATGCAAATGTTTTTAAAAAACATAAATGTGAAATTATGTATCTCCCCTTTTGAAGTGTTACCATTTTTTTAAACTTGGCAATACATGAAATGGCTGGTTTCCCTCACCACTACATAAAGATTCAGGAATGTGCCTGAGTGATGCAGCCATTTAAGCGCTTGCCCACAAACTGAAAGGTTGGAAGTTTGAGTCCATCCACAGGCACCTCTGAAAAAAGATGTACTTCTAGGGGAAAAAATCAGCTTTTGAAAATCCTTGGGATACAGTCTCTGACACACATGGATAACCAGGATTTGGAATTTGCTCGGCGTCATCTGATTGCATAGAGATTGAGTCATTTTGTCCCAGTACAAAGTTTCTGTTTATTCATTAATTCAACAGACATTTGAGTGGTTAGTATGTGCCGCATTGTTCTAGGTGGAAGGGCTTCCATTCCCGTAGTAGAGACAGATTGTGATTAAAATCAAATCCAATGAGACAGGTGGTAACTGACACGTCTTTCTCCCACCCATGGAGCAGGTGGTGGGTTGGAACTGCTGACCTTTTGCATCACAACCAAGTACTCTCAACCACTGCACCAGCAAGGCTTTTGCCTGTTAGGAAAAAGAAATGAGGGAGTGAGAATGAGGAGGGCCTGGCGGGGCTTGGGGTGGTGGGGTGGCAATTTCAAACAATGGTCAGGGAGGTTCCTCCTGAAGGAGAGAAGGCAGCATGCTTGTTATACTTTAAATACTTTGCAATGATGTGGACTAGCTTAAAGGATTCCTGGAGAAATAGGTAGGACATGGAAGCTTAGGAAAGAATCAGAAAAGAAAATATGAAATGTTGGTAAGACAGTGGAGAAATGAGACCCCTCCCAGATTGCTGGTAGAAATATAAAATGCTGCAGCCACTTTGGAAAAGTCTACCAGTTCCTCAGGTAATTAAACATACACAGAATTGTGATTCAGCAATTTCATCTTAGGTATGTGCCTCTTAGAGCAGCATCATTGGTAATAGCTACATACGAAAACAACCCCAATGTCTTTCAAATGATGAATGGCTAAACAAATTGCAATATTAAAGCAAAAAGGACTACAATGAAATATTATCTGTTAATAAAAAGCAATGAATTACTGTTCTGTTACATGCTACAACATGCATGAATCTTGAAAGAATTATGCTAAGTGAAAGAAGCCAGTCTCAGAGGATCACATATTGTATGACTCCCTTTATATGAAACATCCAGAATATGCAAATTCACAGAGATAGAAAGTAAATTAATAATTTCCAGGGAGTGACAGTCAAAGGGGATGCAGGATTTCTTTTTTAGGGTTCTAAAACTGATTGTAGTGATGGTTATACAAGTGTATGAACATATGGGTGAATTAGTATGGGAATTATATCTCAACAAAACTACCAGAGAAGGTAGAAAGCAGGGAGACAGTGGATGAGCCCTTCTCATCCTCACTCCTTTACTGTGCTAAACACATCCGCATCTCTTCTTTCCACAGCTACGAAAGTGCCAACATCGAAACCTTCTTCACCCAGAGCTGGTCCATCTTCTGGGTCAAGATGGCCTCCTGCTGGATGTGTGTGATGCTCTACCTGTCCACGCTGATTGCCCCTCTCTGCTGTCCTTCTCGGCAGTTCTCCGTGTGAGGGACACCTTTGAGTTGGAGTAACGTCTTTCCAACATGTTGTGTTCCTGGTGTTTACACAGTGACTGATGCCCTCAGAAAAGCTGACAAACCCAGACTGGCTTGAAGGGGGTCTGAAAAATCTTCCAGAAAAAGAGTCTCCTAATAAGCTTTTCAACTACAAAATTAGAAAAGAAACGACTAGTTTCTCCCAAAGGAATTTTCAGTCAAATTGATCGTGGGTGATATATTTTGTATGTCTTACCCCTATACAGCAGGATAATAGTTATGTTACTATTTCGCTGGTGTATGTTTATACCAGAACAAAATTTATGGCATAGCTTTTCACAGGGATAAAAGCCATCCTTGTGTAGCTTACCATTTTCATCCATAGAATAGAAAGCCTGCCAAATTCATGGACCCTCTCTGTCCCTGAGAGAGCATGGGCCCCGTCTCAAGCATCTCTGCCTCTGGAGCCCTGGGCTCTGACCACAAGGCCCTGCCTCCATCTCCTTTGTATTTACTGGATCAAGGAGAGGCCTGTGGTGCAGTTTCCTCTGGGCCTCCAGTAATCCTCTTTGAAGTTGTGGTGCTGGGAATCACAGACTTCACTTTTGTTCCCCTCTTTTCTGGGCTGGTATCTATTATAATGTGAAAAAAAAGCACAATTTGCCACCCACTCTCCTCTGGCAAGTCCATATCGACACTACTTGATCCGAGTTCCTGCAATAATTATGGCTGTGATTTGTGTTGTCCTCCATGTGATCCCAGAACAATATTTGTGCTTTTTTCTCTTTTGAAGGCTCACACCCTTAACTGTTAATGCTAGTAACAATATTATTTTAAGAACCTTAATAAAAATCACTTCTTCCCTGAAGCCTGCTGCCGCCCCTTTCAGTTGCTAAAGTCAGTCTCTCAGTTTCCCCTCCACCTTGAGGCCTTTGAAGTTGTAATGCAAAAGGCTTTTGTTTTTCAGATCTAATATGACCATACATCTAAAATCAATATCCGATTCTGAGAAGTAAAATTCCAGGGGTGACAGTTCCAGACAGAGGCACCTCAAGCAGGGCTGGCTAGAGAAGGCCTCCTGTACAAGTTGTAGAGGTGAAAAGTGGGTGTGGCTATTTTAGTAGGCCATGAACAACATCCAGTGAAGTTTACAGAATATATGCTTGTATAGTAATGTTCATGAAGAATTTGACTGCCCAAGATAGCCATATTTTTTTTCCTCTAGTGTTAAGTGTTAATGTTCCTAGTCAGGAAGAGGTTTGCACAGTTGAGACTCTCCTGTTAATATTTCATGTAGAAATAGAAAGAATGCTCTGGTTTCCTAGGAAAGTGAATCAGAGAATAAGAAAACTCAGTCTGGGCCTTCTTTTTGTGCCCTTTTGTATGATGAACTGGGCAGAACCGAGTCCCATGAAACTGTCTTGTGTGCCAAAGTGTCTGGAATGGGAAATTCTCCATTTATTTATTCTCACCCTCTTTATCCTAAGAAGAAAAAAGCATGAGTGGGAGCCTGAGAAACAAAATGGCTAAATTCCTTTAAGAACTTGCCTTATATACAGTGTTAGTTAGAGTTTCCATTTTTAAAGGCCCTCAATCTGTTGAGAGAGCATGCTTAGTTCTGTAAATGTTTTGGAGTTCTTTGTGCGCTGCCTCTCACTCTTCTATGTGGAGTTACAGAATTAATACTCCCTTTCGTAAGCTGTGGGTGAGTCCTGTGGGCCGGGGACCGGTACCAGGAGCCCAGGCTGCTGGCTAGTGCAGCAGACTCTGTGAGGAGTTCCTGCAGGGAAGGGTGCAGTAACCCGGGCCTCTGGGTAAGCTCCCACCCCAAGTGTGCTTGGGAAGCACCATGAGAAGAAGCAGATCAAGAACTGGGGTAGTATCAATAACTTTGCTATTGTTAGGGCCGTCGAGCTCATAGCTACCCTGCGAATAACAGATTGGAACCTTACCCTGTTGTGTGCCATTCACATGCCCTCCACCAGGTTCACGCCCATGGTTACAACAGCAGCTGGTGTCTAGTACAGTCTTTGCTTTCCCTTCTCGCTAAATCTGGCAGCAAACTGGTTTGATTTTTTTTTTTTTTAAACCAGCCCTGACACCACTTCCAAGTCTGTGTGGCAATGCCACATGGACTTTGCCTGGCTTTTATGGCCCCTCTTCCCCCAGCATAAAGCTCAGGGGAACACAAAAGACATTACAAACAGCTAGGACCCTTGTAATGGCTTCGCTGGCCAGTCCAGTGAACCATTTCTTCCAGCCCTTTGGTATTATTCAGTTGTGACACACTTCCCCTCCTAAGGTTGGTCTGATGCAATGAAACTTTTGGTCACTGATTTTTATCCTCTACTGAAAATGTTACAAAGTTAATCTAGGTAGTCTATAGAGAGATGGATACATGTTGAGAATTGAGGGAATATAAACATAGACAAGTTGACTTTAAGGGTTAGTAATTGTAATAAACGATACTCAGGCATTGAGCCAGCCACTATTTGTGGGTTTAAAAAACCTTGTATTATTGTGCTATTGTGATTTAAGACATCGGAAAAGTTGTGTCAACTCTTTTGCATTCCTGTAACAATAGTGCTATTTTGAGTCACTCATTGGTAACCTTTTTTTTTTTAAGACACACCTTTGTTTCATGCACCTTTTTGTATCTGATTTTTTATAAAATGCATTCCCAAAAGCTGCTGGTCAGACTCCACTAGCCGTGGAAGCCTGAAGAAGATCTCTCAAAAACAGAATGTACATTTCCTCTGTGCCATTTGTCTGATGTGGAAAAGTTGTAATATGTCACTCTTCTATTTTTCTTTCGTGTTTATAATAAAACACTGTAAGTGAGGAGGGATATTTGTGGGAGTGGTGCTGTACTAAACTGAAGACTAGAGACTGTCTAAGAACAACCCTACATTGTACTTACTCGGTTGACCTTTAGTAACTCCAGCTGGTTGGTTTTGATTTGGACCCTACAGTTTCTTGGGAAATGGTTTGAGGGAATTTTTTTTCAGAGGTATTTGGAGCTCATTTCCCTATGGACTTTGCATCTGTGAGCTGTTCAGGGGATGGAGTTACTGGGATATTGGAGTTCTGTTTCCCATAAGAAATTACCTGAAGGAGAGCTCTCACACCACATCTTTTATCTCTAGTTTCTTAAATCATTCATCATGAGTAACCTCAATGTAGTAGTAATCTACCTACCTACATACCTACCTACCCAAACTTGTCACCCTCTGCCTTTTTAAGATGATGTACTTATTTAATGTTTCTAGATGTTTAACATCATTGGTGCTTCCTGAAACCCTGTGAAGGGAATCCCAGAGCCTGCCTTTAAGCTTTCTGGGTCGTTGTTTTTATTTCTCCCTCTTTAACTGCCTGTCTCAATAATATTTTAGTGGCAATTGTGTTAAATGTTTTGGGAATGAAAGAGGGCTTAACCTTGGCCTGAGAAGGGACTAACCTCGTGCTTAGACCTTGCACACCCAAGAAGAACACTTTGTAATCAGGGACAATTGCAATAGCCACTTGGCTTATAGAATTTCTTGAAGTCACTTCTTTAACTTACCAGCAGAAGAACTAACTTTCTTCGTAAGGCCACCATGTTTCCTGCCATCTTGAATATATTTGTAAGGCTATTTAGCGGATAGTTTTGTATTTTTGTCAGAGATAGGCTTTCTAGAGTTTGACGTTCTGCTTCAGAGGAGTTCAGAGTTGCCAACACATATTTACAACAAATGCAACCCTTTCTGAGGAACTCTCTTCGGTAAATCAGGTTTGCAGAGGGAAACATTTTGAAAGGGGAAATATTTTACTTGGATCAGAGAAGTATATTTGTCTTTTGTTTTCCTTTCCTTGAAAAAGCAAAATTCTTTTTTAAAAATCAACTAGGCAAAGAGAGAGTAACCTATCAAGAAAGACCTACTTCTGTTGAAGTTTAATCATTTATGTGAATAAAAGATTGAAAGACCTTTTAAAGGTAATCCTTTGAGGTAAAGAAGGCTTACAGCAGATGTGTAATATATATCTTGAGAGTATTTATAAAAAAATTTTAAAATTGTTTTTCTTTATTAAAGAATTCTTTTTAACCTTGAGGGCAAAAGTCTAAAAATATTTTATAGTCTTCTATATGTTTCACTTTTTTTTTTTTTTTTTTACTTTTCTGACATATGTTAGTTGTGGCCAAATCATATGATTATGTGGTTTATGTTTTGCTATATTAGAATTTGAAAATGTATTATGTGTTGCAAGTCTACTGCTGTTTGAAATTTATAATGGTCTCTTAGGTGGTTAAGATTTTGATACCTTTTAATAATTATTTTTTACTCTTGGTCGCAAAGTCAGCTATGGATTTATATTTGTTTTTAGAATGCTAACTTTTCTATAAAGTGTTTGCAACTGACTGGTCTCTTCTTATGTATGCAAAACTTGTTACACTATAGTTTAATAAAACTGAAAACCATGCTCATTGTCTTTTGTCCTTTCAGCTAGATCCAGGTAATTGTTTTCCAGAGATATTGCCCTCTAATGCTATTATTTGTCATAAAATGTGTTCTGACTCTTGAGAGTGAAAGTACAAGCTAGAAAACCCAAGCTCTTATCCTTCCTCTGAAAAACCATGTTTAGGAAACTTCCTTTTTTCCCTCCCTGCTTTTTTCACTCAAGTCATCTGAGTAGCAAAACCAGAAAAGCACCAGGTTTTTACACTGCAGAATTGATCATGATTAGATCCAGTTCACTCTGTAAAGTCTGACCTCTGCCTTCCCCAGGAGAGGGTATGCCTGAACCTGTGATGGGTGCCTAGTCAGTGTTTAAAGACAACATAGGAGCTTGCGCCAGGAAGTTCTACCTTGGATCAACCTGTTATAATACAGCACTTTGCCAATCCCAAGGACGCTTCTTTGATTTGTGTCTAAATGGTCACTGTGGAATCAAAGCAATGTCCTTTAACAAGTTAAGTGCAACAGATATCAGCTTAGTCTAACCATGACTTAAGTAGTGAGGCAGGAGCAATGAATA